GGAATAAATTAATGGGAATTTTAGTGACTTCGTCACAATCCTAACGTCACAGAGCCGCGGTGGGATATAAAATAAAAGTTATCTAAGCATTCTATTCATGGCAAATACTAGATTCCCTGCGTACGCAGGGCCACTGAGAGCCAGGTGGGGCCCCGGGACAATTAAGGCCCTTTCGATATCACATTTCTAAAATAAAAGGTCTTCAAGCTAAAACTTTCAAGCTAAAATCCTTTTTCAGTGAAATCTAAAAAAGGTTCTCACCTTGTATTTTTTGTAAACCAAGTGCTTCCTTTTGTTTATGGCGAACTCCTAAAAAAATAAAACGTCCTCACCTAAAGCTGCGGGGCACCCCTTGTGCTCGGGCCCCGGGAATTTGAACCACCAGCCTCTCCTCTTGTTGGCCCTGTGCATACGAAACAGGCCCACCAGCATGGTTTTTGAAGATGGAAAAGGATATAGAAAAGTGAGAAGAGGAAAAGTAAAGGCGAGAAGAGGAAAAGAAAAGGCGCTGGAAGAAGGAAGAGAAAGAAAAGGAAAGGCGAACGAAGGAAGAAGAGGAGGAAAAGGAAAGGCATAGCAAAAAAGAAGAGGAGGAAAAGAAAAGGCATGAGAAGGAAAAAGAGGAAGAAAAGAAAAGCGTAGGAAGGAAGAAAATGAGTAAAGGCACAGGAAGGAAGAGGAAAAAGAGAAGGGGAGAGGCGTAGAAAACATGAGGTGAAAATTATGAATGGTTTGCTGCAAATTCAAGAAAACTTTAAGTAGGACGTATGTCAGCTAAACAGTCGAGTAGATCTCTAAGCAATCACTGGAATCATGTATTTTGTGCTCAAGTAAAAATGAATGCGAGGATTTTTAAGACAACCTATCAACCCATGAATATAAAAAAATATTCGGGAGTAACCTTCTTTTGTATCTTATTTCCATTATGTTGACTATAATATTGAGCAGTACATTTGGAACCAAGTTCAAAAAGCCACCAGATAAATAAAAACTAAAGTAACCCCAGGGCGTCAAGACTTAATTCGAAGTGTCACACTCCACATCAGATGGACTATCTTTACTTTTAAACACCGTTTTTTTTTCAGGTAAATGCTTTTTTACTCTGTTTTACCAACTTTTGCCTTTTGTTTGAAAGAATTGTTCAGGGCTCTAATTGCCTTTCATCATTTTCCTCATCAGATGTCAGAAGAGTCAGACTAGACTGTACATTTTAGACAGGTTCCCATGTATCATCTTCATCGCTGAACCAACCTCATCTAACAATTTAAAGACTGCATCAGGATTATCTCTGAAAACATATAAGTCAATACGTTGTTTTTTCCTAAAAATAAAGTGAAATTTATTTTTTATCAATGCGCTAGTTCAGTGTGATTCATTTTGATTCCACTGACATTTAATTCTAACCAAACTTTTAACAAAAACATCAATAAATTTGACATATACGTTTTTACTGTTTTTATTTTATTTCAAAATATTGTTTACAGGTCATAAAAAATAGTTTAGAGGTATGTATTTGGTAACTAAACGATTGTATATTTGATACATGCTATCTACTTACTTTAGGAATATATTTATAAAAGTGAAAAAAACGATATAATTTAGGTAAACAAAACGAACCGAACGCACTCAAAAAATCTACTGTCACTTTAATTGTCAGTGGAACCATAATTACATCATCACTGAACTAGCGCATTTAACAAATGTTACTTTATTTATTCCCAACTCTCACATTTGTGATTAACATGAAAAATATAAGATTTTAATTATAAAATTAATTCTAATGTGACATGTTTGAATTACACAATAAAGAATAGCCTTTTTCAAGTTATCTTTTCAAAAAATAGTGAAAAAAATTAATGAAATTATTTTCACGAGAGTTGGGTCGGATACAGGAAAAAGTATCTGAGTACCGGATACGGATACTTACAATGTATCTGGATATTTTTTAGGATACTTTCCGGTACAATCTGTATCTGTAACGTGTGGAGAGTGGGTTACCCCCACGGCACTTAGGCCTTATTATGCCCATTGTGCATCCTCCTAAAATGGTAGGCACCTCCTAGCTCGTCAGCCAGCCTACAGATTTAATGTAGTTGACAACGTCGCCAAGAGGTGCTTCTCTTATATTGGCCGGTGTTAGCCGATACTCGCCGAACACAAATCTTCTAATAAATGAGAGCGTCATGCAATCGTAAAGGATATGCTCGATGGTTACATCTTCTTGTTTGCACCCTCTGCAGAGTGTGGATTCTGACAGCCCCATGATATGGAGATGCTTCCGTACTTGGCAATGACCAGTCAGAATGCCTGTGACCAGACGCAGATTCTGTCTAGTCATAGTCAAGTATTTGTTTGCTGCAGTGTTGTCAGGATAACTTAAGAGCTCCCTGGCAACTCTGCAGTTTCTTGTTTCATCCCATCTTTCCTTGAATTTCACAAGGGAATGTTCTTTAATTAGGTCTGTCACTACCGATTTTGTCAGGCCAATAAAAGGGCCAGGTCCAAAAAGTATTTGGTTGGCTGCTTTCTTGGCTAGTGAATCGGCAAGACGGTTACCTTTGATCCATCTTAAGGTGACCACATTGTTGATGGATACTTCGGCCAAAGCTTCATGATATTATAGTACTAACCCTGAATAAATTCGTGGTCTGTTCAGGGTGAGTAGTGCTTGTCTGCTATCTGTATAGATCAGCATGTTCCTTCCAGTGATATTATTTCTGGTTATTTCTTTTGCTGCTATGAGAATCCCCGTTAGCTCTGTTTGAACTACACTGGCTCACAGCCCATTTTATGTTTAGGTTTAAGAATCTGGAGTATATTCCGCATCCTGAGCCTTGGTTTGTTTTAGAACCGTCGGTGTAGATATGAATCGTACCTGCCACTTCTGGCTCTTCTATTTGTTCTATTACAACTTTATATGGCTTATGGAAGATATATCTCGGTGAGATGGAGTCCATGTTCGCTTGAAGCAGTGGGAGCGTATCGAGCGCCTCCTGCCAAAAGCGACGTCTCGCCTCACCAGATCCTACATCAGGTTATATTCCGACCGTGCGGAGGCGTGTCATTGTCGTCAGAGCAACCTCCTTGATGTAAATATCAAGGGGAGTGAGACTAAGAATGACATCGCTCTAATCGGTGTTGTTTTCATGGCTCCTGTTATGTTGAGACATGCTGTTCTTTGAATTTGTTCTAGTTTACGGATAGCTGTTAATTTTTGGGTTTTCGGTACCCAAACAACTGCACCGTATGTTAACATAGGTCTTATGATAGCCGTGTAAGTCCACGCGACGACTCTGGGGAAGAAACCCCAGATGCGTCCCACAGTACGGCGGCATTGTTCATAAGCAATGTATGCTTTTTTAACTCTGTTTTTTCCGGATACAAGTATCCAGATACTTTTTTCGGATACTTTTACGCATTCTTTTAAAGTGAGTTAAAATAATGTTTTCATGCCAATAGTTATAATTATGCAATAAGATTGATTACGAGTAACAATAAACAATACTAGGCATAAATAAATTATCGAAAATGGAAAGCGATATAATAGAAACAGGAAAAAACTACTCAATAAATTGTTTATTATTTTTTTCTGTGAATATAAAACACCAAGAGAATCTAAAAACTAATTAAGATAATTTAAAAACGAATTTAGAGCAACAACAAGAAAATTTAAAGACTAATTTAGAACATCAGCAAAAAAAATTGAAAGAACAATAAGAACATAATCAAGGGGAAAGACGATTTTACGGGGAAAATCACAACAAGTAACTCAGTTGACGCCAGCTTTGTGAAACGGCTAGTTAAAAATTATGACCATCTGACAACCAAAGAAATTTGAAAAGTCAAAATATGTATCAATATCACGAAACAAATACATACTAACGGTATGCTGATTCAAAATTCGTCTAAACCGCGCAATGACGTAATGCGGGACGAACTTTTAAGTTATTTTGACACTTTTTGATTGAATAGTGTAAAATAATTTAATAATTTATTTGTTTTTGTGTTAGTGGTGACTATATTTTCCTATATATAACAGGGAAGAACTAAATTAATGTTTAAAATGTCGGGCTGCACGGTGGAAATATTTCCGAATGACACACAATATGGGTAAATTCTTATCGAAGAAAGGACAAACTTAATTGAAGTTGCCTATCCTCTTGAGGAAAGTAGTTGTGAGATTCCTCTTAAAGATAGACGCAAGAAAAGGAAACTGAATTCCACCAGGTGCACGGGCCTCATTAAGCAAAGAAAATAAATCGGTATTTTAAAATTTTAGCAGATTAAACAGTAGTTTCCTGTCCCAATACAACGGTCCTTTTGAAGTAATGCCATGCATGAGCAGAACACGAACATATATAAGAATAAGATAAATGAACAGAAAAATTGGTTTTGAGTATTTTCAAAGTAAACTTGACAAAAAATATTTAAATATACTAAATAAAAAGTAATTTTTTTTGCGTACTTACTTTTTATAAATAAATCATCGGCTAATAATAATAATTCTAAAAAAGCGATATCATTTCAATCAATTTAGAATCATGGAACAGTATTTTGGAATTAAATTGTTTCCATTTGGTGCAATTTAATGAATTGGAGATGTACTTGCTGAGTTTTAAGGCAGCCTCTAGTTTCAAGTGTTTTTCGACTTGAGGTCGTTACTTGAGAAACTGGAATGAAACCAGTACTAATGACAATGACTAATCTAAAGAAATATTTCTTTTGTTTTTTTTTTTAATAAAACTATTTTTTACTATGAAATATAGAAGGTTATCAACATGGGAATAAATACTGTTCTTCCACAAATAGGTAAACTATTTTCCCTGTTCCAGTTTCCAATGATTGGAGTAGTGGCATCATTTATCTTTTTTTAATTTCGTAAATTATTTCTGATGCAAATGATGAAATAATTTGTTTACTACATCGAAAAAATTTACTTCAAATAAAAATGTTTTTATTTTGTCAAAAACAGATACAAACCGGTTTTTTTTAACTTTTAGGTGAACAAAAAATCAGGTAATGTCAACGGCGACATAGTTGTTTCATCGAGACCAACTGACATCTCGACCCGATCCACAGATATCCAGAGAAGTCCTGAACAGAGTCGGATAGCTCAACTTGAACAAAATATCCGGTTTTTACAGGAGCAGCATCAGCTCATGCTCACTGGCTTACACAACGAAATTGAGAAATTGAAGACCAGAAATCGAGGTAAGCCATTTATGATACAAATGTTAAAATGACATTTTCATTGAGTGTATCGTACAATATTATTTTCTATAACTGTGCTCTTTTTATAATGAAATAGACAAATCGAAATTGCATACTTTGATGTCTCTTGGTAGGTAATTAATTTTTTCTACAACCACTATTCAAAACATGCTTTTTTGCTTTTGCCAAGTTGCCAATTGCTCACAATACTACGAAAAAGTAACACATGTGTGCAGTAGGGATAGAACGATACCGATATTGATATCGGTATATCGGCAGTTGTTGCCGATTATTGGTATCGTATCATATCGGCAAGATAATTGCGCTTCTTTACTACTACCCTGTCCAAAATAATCTGCAACCGTTTTCTTTCTACCAGCGCCCGTTTCACTACCATTTACAATTTACCAATTTAGTCATGAAGATATTGCCGTTCAAGTTTTTTTTTGTTCTTTTAATTACAAATAAATGCTTCTGATGGTTTGCCTGCGTCAGTTTATAGTACATTTTACTTATAACGATTAAACGGATTGCTTTATTTTTTTTCTAAATTGACGTTTGCTATAGATGTACTGAAATAAAGACAATATCTTATGAAATTATCAAATTTTCGCTCTATTTTCGAAAAAAATTTCTTTACTCATACAAGCCCTGTCTCAGTGAAGTTGGCTCAACTATCGAAACCATGTTTTTTAAATAACAGTGGATTCCATTCATAAGCTTTAGGAATTATCACGAATATCCCTACACATAGATATTTTTTACTGTTTGTTTAAATAAATGAAAACAGATTCTTAAACAACACTGCTGGTACATATTTTGAGTATTTATTATAAATCATGAAGATGCCACATTTGAGCAATACCCTCTACGATTTCATTTTTTAATTTGTTTAAAATATTTTTTCCTTTTCCAGAACTACAGTTCCAATTAGTTTTTGTGAAAGGATCTCCTTCTTTGAGCTCAGCATCATCTCCAGAAGATGAAACCAAACATAAGGTAATATTTTTTTGTCCCCATTTAATACAAATGCTCTTAAATAAAATAATGATAGTATAATAATATACAGGGTGTTTGGTAAACATGCGGCAAAAATGCAGGGGATTATTACTTGGACTATTCTAAGAATATTTTGTTATTTTATGATTTGTGAAAACCCGCTTTGTTTCGACTGTGTTTGAAAGAGTTCGGCAGTCAATGATGAGAAGAAGTCATTTTGAACATTTATTGTAGATTAAACAACTTTACATGTAGTGGAGGCTCGTCATCAATATTTTGGGGGTTCACAATGATAGAATATAGATCTCAGTACAGATGTAGGTAAAAAACTTTCAGTGTTTCAGAAAAGAACATCATAACCTTTCTAAAATACTGAAAGTTTTTACCCGAGATCTATATTCTGTCAGTGTGAAACTCCAATATTTTGGTCACGGGCCGCCACTGTTTACATGTTCTTTTTGATAATAAAACGTTGTTACTCTCGAAATTGTGTTTACCTTGTATCTTCGAAACACAGCGGGTTTTCACAAATCATGAAATAACAAAATATTCTTAGAATAGTCCAAGGAATAACCTTTTGCATTTTTGTCTCATGTTCACCAAACACCCTGTATATACATATATAGGTCGTTCACACTTATTTTAAATAAAATGTTCGACATATTTCACTGTCAGTCTTACTATATAAGTGGACAATTGATGACTTTCTTTTCAAGTAAGTTCACATGATATTTAATTTAATTTTTAATTGATTAATTTTAAGAATTAACAATAAATAATATAAATTTTGATATATAAATTAAAATACATATAAAACACACGTAAAATATCCTAAACAAACATAAAACGTGAAGGTTAAATAGGAAAAATAAAAAAAAAAATTAGTAAATAAAAATACATATTTCTAAAAACTTAAATATTAATGATTATTTTTCAGGTATTTACGAGCCCGACACCATTTAATAAGACGCCTCTGCAAATAGAGATCTTAGAAAAAGAACTAGGGGAACTGAAACTGCAATCTCAAGAAACAGATAGTAGAAACGCCTATCTTTCAGCTATAGTAGACGAGCAGAAAAAGTAAGCCCCAAAAACAAATAATTTAAGAGAAAGTATTTTCATCCTTCAAAACTACTCTTATCGTTCTTATTTCTCCCTTCCCTGTATTTTTGCAAAACAATGTTAACATCTCAGATAAACAAATTAAATATAGATAAGTAAGTAACGGGTGCCGTTTAACAAAGGCTTTGTTTGAACCCATGGAGGTAAAATAGGGAAGAAGACCCAATCACGTGGTCAAAAGTGTCACCACGTCGACCATATTGATACTAGACTTCCTTTACTTGTGCTCCATTTAGTAAACGTCTTTTACAGTCCGTCCCATAAAAAATGTCTTTCAAAATGTTTTGAACACAATTTATCATTTGGCGTAGGCACCCAATTTGCAAATTTCGTCGCCTGAATCCAAAGATTTGTTTTGTTGGATCCACAGGAAATCTAAAATATAACATAAACATTGCTGCAATTAAATAAAAAGCAAAAGTAAATTAGAATTTAATAAAAGTTAATATTTAGAATTGTACGACACGCCACTGGAAAAATTACATATTTGGTCATTTTAATATCATTAATTGCTTAAATATCAATGAAAAGCATAAAATAAATAAACGTGGTGGGTAAAATTTATTACTCTGGAGTGAGACATGTACAATATGTAAATACGAAGTTGTATAACACCAAATAAAATCAAAAATATAGAAAAATATATAAAGTGAAAACGATAGATGTTTATCATTTACCTGTAAAACGTAATATCTGCTTCTTTCTTGCCGCTATAACTTTTACACTGATATGCCACACAATAAACCATTGTAATAAAACAATTATTAAATGTCGTTTAATTCAAAAATCAGAAATAAATACGAACAAAAACTTTGGTGTCACCGAAATGCTTAGCACCAAAATAATAGCGGCCAATAGATAATAGGCACAGAATACTACGTGTGCTCGGTCTACTTGTTACGCGTCCTCTCTACCTAGTCTAAGAAAAAAACAGTCTGGACCTGGTACGGCCGCCATATTGATGCTTCACTTACGTCCACTTAACCCCGCCTACCGATGTCATTCTTAGAAAACATGTTTAAATGAACATAGCATCTCCTTCAGTATCCTACCTCCATGTTCGAACCAGTATATGCCTGTATATGCGAACGTTTGACAGTTGTGATCTCCATGTGCGTATCAAATAGTTTTTTCATCAGAATCCAAATTATTGTTTTTTAAATATTTCGTCAAGGACAAACTTAAAGAAAAATGCAGTTCAAACATAAAATTTTATTGCACAAAAATTAAATTGTGCTATTTTTTATTCAAATGTAATAAACCATATTTATAAAAAAATAGGTCTCAAATGACTACACTGATAATAATAAATAATAATAATAATAAATTAGTTTATTCATTCACATTACAAATGGGGGTATAATATTATAAAATAATATAGAAAATTGAACAAACTATAAAACTGCATAAGCATAAGCTTGTTTGCAGATAAATACGAGAATAAATTGTTATATACATAATATACAATATGAAATAAAGTAAAATAAAAATTAACAATTGAAAATTAAAGTTTATGATTTAAAGTTTGGATTAAAGATTTAAGATTTTACATATTTTTTTTCTTTTTTCTTTTCTTTTTTTTTTTCTTCTTTTTTTTGTAGACAAAAGTAGATTAGAATAAAATATTGAATTCAGTTGAGTTGTGGTACAAAGTATAAAGAGGTACATAATTTTAGGATATTTGTTAATGTTTAGATAGCTATTATTTTTAATTACTAATAAAAGTAATTATTCCAACAGATTTGTAATGAACTTTATACCACTCTCTGAGACATATTTGTTTAATTTTTTTTTAAATTTGTAATTGTTGTTGATTTCTTTTATATCTTCAGGTAGTCTATTATAAAATTTGGGACCGACAAATGCATAAGAACGCTGTCCAATAGCTTTTTGCATGAGAGGTAGTATTTGAAACTGCTTTTGTCTGATATTGTAGTCGTGTATTGGAAATATATATATATATATATATATATATATATATATATATATTTTTTTTTGTAATGATAATGCGTAACAATTTTTTTGTAATAAAGTTGCCTCACTTCAAAAACCTTGGAAATATTAAACAGTTCATCTGAAGGAAATCTTCGATTTTTTTATAGATTATTTCTTAGTGATATTTTTGCAAAACTTGAAGGAGCATTAAAAACCTACATTCACCCTGAATGTAGGTTTTTAATGCTCCTCCCCAAGCTGCAAGTCCATATCTAATATGGCTCTCAATTAGGGAGTAATAAAGAATTGTTAGCTGATTAAGGGTTAATACATTTGTTAAGTATCTAAATTTAGATAAAAGACTTCTTAATTTTTTGCAAACGTATTTTATATGTATATCCCATTTCATATTCGAGTCCAGGAAGACTCCTAGATATTTAACTGCATTCACTGCATTTATTTCATAGGGATTGTTAATGGCATTTATCTTGAGTTGGCTGAATGTGGGTGCAGTCAGATTATTACAATAAAATGGCAAATAGCAAGTCTTTTCAACATTTAAAGTTAATATTTTATATTTTAGCCATTTATGTATTTTTAGAAAATCTGATTCAGCTGCTTCTTTAAGTTCTAGCCAAGTATTCGCAGTATATAAATTATATAAAATAATTAATTTGTTATATGTGCATCGTAATTTGTATGGGGTGGGGTAAAATTTGCCCATCTTACACTGTTATGGTAGGAGACGAAAATTGAAAATCTACTACCAGCGCATCCCCACTTAAGACAAATTAAATTGCGACGACTATATATGATAATTAAATTTGTTGTTTAATTTGCAAAAAAGCAGGTAATTAATCTGTACACAGAGTATCTTACTCTCATCAAGCTTGTTTACCAAGCTGATATACTCAATGTATTACCAATTAGTATTTATTAAATAAATAAAAAAAATGTTTACACAATGCTATTCCCCACTCAATTCACTAGATACGCTTGTACGTGGATTAGGACGACCATAATTTTTTAATGTCTATTTTCATATAACAATAGTCTATTCCTGTTTCTTGATGCAAAACTAAAGTAAAATAAATTAAACAGTTCCGGACAATTTATTAAACCATTTAACAACTTTATTATGTAAGAATAGTTAATTCGCATCATGCCTTCATTTTTCTAAAGAAAAAATGTTAATTCCGGAAATTTGTCGATAGTTAGTATCTACCCAGTTCAGTTCATTCCTAGATTTTATGCATAATGTCAAATTTGTCTAGCTACAACTTGTATGTGAAGAATTTTTTATATAAGATTCAAAGCTTCACCCAAAAATGTATAATACAATTAACGCAAAGAATATAATAATTTAAAAACACAATACCAGAATTAAATATAAAAATCCAACATAAAATAAATAAAAAAATACAATATAAAAGTATCAAAAGTGGTAATTAAAAATTAAAAAATTGGTAAGTGGAGTGTCTATTTTCAAAGAAATACAGTATGGTGCAAAATGAACGTTATGGTTTATAGGTTTTTATTCATTATTGAATTTTTTCTTTTTTTTTTAAATTGTGTAAAGAAGACTCGGAAATTTGAAATGGAACAGTACACATTAGAACAACGAACAAAAATCATTGAAGTTTTTTTTCAAACGGAAGCTCGGTTATTCTGATGCCGCGTACATATCGTCGATGAAAAGTTTTTTGAGACCACGTATGGAAAATTACCCTCAAATGTGGCTTTAACAAGATGGCGCCACGGCCCATACTGCAAGAGACACAATGGTTTTGTTACGGGAGATCTTTGACGAACACATTAATTTGCATAGGAGCGATTTTTATTGACCGTCGCGTTTGCCGGATCTGACCGCTCTAGACTGTTTTCTTTGGGGCCATAGACCATACGTGAACTGAAAAACAATATTCACAATGAAATCCGTGCCATAACCCTCTGAAGTTATGCAAACCCAGACAGTACACCAAATCCTTTGGATATCTACTGAACATCCCAATATCCACTGGATGTCCAGTCCATGATGGATATCTATTTTATATCCATTAGCTGTAATTTATAGACATGCAAATGTCCATAAATAATAGTAATTATATAGCAAATTATTAAAAAATTACGCCATTGTGGCTAATAGTACCGTTCAGATATTTAAAATTAATTTTTTTAAGGTATATTTAATATCCCATGGACATCCACTAAATATATCAAAGTCTAGGCGCGAACTCAAACCATCGTGGATATCCACTAGATGTAATTTTTGATTTTGCTTACTCAGTATAGATGGCGATACTACTTTTGCATCTACTCATTCTCAACCTGCCGTAATTGAGTTCGATCGAAATTTGTTTCACAATCAGACTCCAATAGAGACTGGAGTCGAGAATTTCCATTTATTGCTGAAGAGTCCTAATAAGGATAACTTTCTCCTTAGTGGGCAAAATCAAAGGCAGAGTGTTGAAAATATTTTGAGTGTTGAAAATATTTTTTATCTCTGCTATTTTCTTTCGACTTTATTCAATAATCATTGGTTACTTATGAACCTCTACTAAAGATACCTATAAAATATATTGCTGAATATCCGAGTTCTTCTATATCCTGGGATATAGACGGACATTTGGTTGGATATCCATATTGGATATCCACAGAATATATTCTGTGGGTATCACTGGGATTTCTTGTATTGTCTGGAAGATACTCATTAGATATTTTGCTAGATATCCATATGATATCTTCTATATTCTGGATATAGACGAACATTTGGATATCCATATTAGATCCAAGAAATATTTGTGATATCCTGTGGATATATTGGATATCCACAAAAGATATTCTGTGGATATCTCTGGGATTTGGTGTGTTGTCTGGCAAGAGCCCAACTTTGTGAAGCGGAAAATAGGCAACACCTGGTAGACGTAATTTTTTTAAGTTAATAATATTCTCCATTCATATGCTGTATTTTGACAAAATAATATTCAGAATTTATTCAAAAATTCGAGAGACGCTAAAATGGT